CGTCCCCCTGGTCTGCAGACCAGGGGGAGGGGGGGGGCAAAGCAGAGCCAAGCCTCGGAGCGCGTGGGCAGCGGACAACCCTGTCCGCTGCCCACGTGTTCCGCCGCTTTGCTTCCTCTCCCTGGTCTGCTGGAGACCAGGGAGAGGAACGGCCCCGTTCGTAACTGCGGATCTGACGTAAGTAGGATCCGCGTAACTCGGGGACTGCCTGTAGTCTATTATCAGCACTCCACTTCTCCCATCTCAGAAGGAAGAGCAAATCCAGCACAAATCAGTTCTCTCAATCACTTGCTGTGCCTAAGGCCTGGTAACACCCACCTTGGGTTCAGAGTAGCTGGAGATCATTAATACTGACTCAAATATAATATGTCCATTCTTTATCTTTAATTGATATTTTGACAGTTTTGGGATGGGCTGGCTATAGGTATTAGTTTGATGGGCATCACTATTACATAGGCAGTATAATTAGCAACAAAAGGACTACAAGACTATTTTAAAAATGGCAAATGTCCTAGTGGTCTAGGATAAGTGCTGATTTTTTTTAATTATAATATCCACATCTGTAGATGTTTGTTTTAAAAGCAAAATTCAATATAGAGAACTCTTGTTTACCTTGACACACAATGTCTACTTGTCACCATGTTACTATTTACTTCAGTCTCTTCATGAAAAATGTAAAAGTATCAAAGAAAACAGGTTGAGTACAGAGGTCCTGAGAAATGGTTGTTTATGGGTCAGAGGTAGTGCTAGAGGTGATAAGAACCTGGATAAGTTCCAATGGTTATTACTAACTGAAATAATGGGAGTGCAAGGGAGTATTTCAGTTTATAGCATGAGAAATGGTACTAGCCCACTCTAACGATCAGAAGAAAGTAAGGTAGGATATGATGCTCCCTGGACTTGTCAGTCTCCTTAAGCAAATGGTGGCTCAACCTTTTTAATCAAGAAACCATCTCTGAGTATGGTCTTGCAAATTGTCACTCTGTCTTTAATCTTCCTCTTTTGTGTGACTTTGGTGTTGGTAACTCAAACTCACTGATACAGGAAAGCAGTGCTTTTTTTTTTTTTTTGTGACGGTACTGCCTGGTATGCGGTACCGGCACCTCCAGACGCAGTACTGGCACCTCCCTCCAGTCAGAGCTCAACAACTTTTACCCTGGAGTACTGGCACTTTTATTTGTTTAAAAAATAAATAAATAAAAAAGGACTGCAAGGAAGTATAGAGCAAAGACAGTGGATCTGTTGTTGCTTCTTTCTGAGAGAAATTGAAGGCAAATTTAAATATCTACTGTTGTATTCTACTCTTTATTATTTTGATAATTCAGAATAAAAACATGGATTATAATGAGGCTCATATCAACTAGTCTTATTTCATGCATTTTAAAACTGCTGACTATCCAGCAAAGATAAAGGTATTGCAGTCTTTACCAAAATCATACTTTGATATTGCCTTCTTGCAGGGATCATGCTTCAGGCAGATGGCGAAGTTCGAGATACATTGGGTGGGACTATTTGCTGCAGATAACAGTAAGACAAGAGGTTTGATAGTGTTAGTAGAGAAACAAGACTCCCATAAAACATAGAAAAAGCTATTCACTTATGAAGAGATGGTGTGACAGTTAATAGAGAGAGAAGTATTATAATAATCTCATTCTAAGCAACTAGTGTGACCCAAGCAAGGAATGATGGAAGAAAAATAAGGGGCTTTTATTATTAGGGAGAAAAATAAGTTCTTATTAAGATTCCATTTGATAAGACTTTGGATGGTGCTTAATGGGAAAAATTACTCTGCTGGAAAAAAATTGGGTAGCCAAAACTTTTCACCTAAAAATGATTGTGTCCCTAAACATCCTGTCACTAGACATCTCTCATTTCAGTGTATCAAATGTGAATGTGCAATGTCTGCTCAATGACTGACTAGATTTTTGAGGTTATATATGGAAGAGGTTATGCACATTATACCATTTTTTTTAATCAACCTCACTTCCAAAATTGTATTTATAAAAATTCTGTCAAACCCTCACAATTTAACAGCAGCAATTTATTACTGAATCTTAAATCCAGGTTGGCAGGCTATTTTAACAAACCATTAAATGTGAAATAGAGTGAGGAAAAAATCCTCAAGCTTACAGCTGATGCTTTTTCTGCGGGGTCGAGGAGTACTTTTCTGGGTAGGGGTAGAGGAAAGACTTGCTTAATACATTCTCAGATTTGATGTAAACAAACTCGTTGTGCAGATCATATGGTTCAGGTCTTGGACACGAATCTTAAAGCAACAGTTCCTGCAGTCTTTACAAACTTCTTGGAGCATCCAAGTGTAACCCTTCTACTGGCAGTAATCAGCAGACAGAAGGGGCTGAGGTCAAGGAGACGGGGAGCAGCTTTTCTTGCCCCGGAGGAGGCGGGCGGCGGGACCAGGCGTCCCGCCACTCCAGTCCTCCGGGGCGAGAAAAATCCCCGTTCGTAACTGCGGATCCGACATAAGTCGGATCCGCGTAACTCGGGGACTGCCTGTATAATAAAACTGGAGCCCCAGGACTCTTTAGGGCACTCACTTTGGATGTGATAAGTGAAAGTTCTAGTCCATGCTCTGCATCAGGAATTGTCCTCATCCTAGGTGATTTCCCTAACCACTGGAGTATTGGCTGTTCTAGGTAGGGTTTCTTTTTCTCCCTCCCAAAATATCCATGCAGGACCTGAGAAACCTTTAGCCAATGATGGTCACAGAAAGTCATGAGTTCCTATGAAAAAATTTTGTTTAACAAATTGGTATCTTCTACTGAAAAATTCTTTTGTCAAAATTCATTACTCGCTCTTATGTCCTAGTTACACTTTAGGCTTTGGAGAGCTTCCTGTCCCTTTTTGCTGCAGAAAAATAACACTTTTTTTTTTTCAGTTCAATGGTACTATCATGTATATGGTTTTAAGAACTGCAGCAATCACTTTTTTTGGGTGCGGGGGGCACCATTACTTGGAATATCAAAGTGTGCTCAAAATGCTTTTTAAATAATGGCCCACTCATTTTGCTGCGGGTTTCATATTGTTTTCTTTCCTTTCCTTCCCTCCACTTCCATCAGTCAAGTTACAGTATCTTGAAACTAAGATAATCACTTTTGCCTCAGCTTGTTTCTATCATTTTCCAGCATTGCAACAAACTATTTCTCCCTTATAGCCTATTTTCTCCTTTTGATTCTGTATTGAGATAATGGGCTAGTACTTAAGATAGATAGGTCTCACGTGAGTGTAATGTGGATAATCTAAGGCAGTGGTCCGCAACCATTTGGAGCCGCTGGGCGCCAGGGGCTGGAGCTGTTTGCCTGCCGGGCGCCAGAGAGTGGAGACATTCGCGCACCCGGGGGCAGGGCCGCACGTATGCCATACCCCCATGAGCTACGTGCCTGGGGCCAGTAACCCCATGCGCTGCATGGCCATGGGCAGGGCCGCCCATTTGCTGCAAGCCTGGGGCTGGCACCCCCCCACAGCCGTGTGCCCAGGGCCGGCGCCCCCCATAGCTGTGTGCCTGGGGGCGAGGCGGCCAATTTGCCACGTGCTTGGGGCCAGGGCGGCCAATTTGCCGCGCCCCCAGGACTGGCGCTCCCCATGCACCGCGCGCCCGGGACCAGCGCTCCCCATGCGCCTGGGGCTGGCACCACATATGTGCAGCGTGGCTGGGTCCGGCACCGCTCATGTGCCCAGGACGGGGCCAGCCCTGAGCACTTGGCGGGCGCACACAAATGCCCCTGCGGGCACCATGGCACCACTGCGCTAAGGCTATGTCTACACTACAGGTTTTTGCCAGCAGAGGCAATGCAAATGAAGTGCTGATTAGCATTTTTTCATGCTTCATTTGCATAATCTCTTCCAATCTGTTTTTAGCAAGGCGTTTTTGCGCAAAAACAAGCAGTGTGGATGTTTTCATTTTGCGTAAATTCCTTATGCCTCAAGAGGAACTTATGTTTGCAGATATTACCTGTTGATATGTTTGCAGATTTTACATAAAGCTTAAGTGAATTTTAAGTTGATGTGTTTGAAAGTTTTTCTAAGTGTGCAGATTTGTGCCAGTTGAAAATCCCTAAAAAGAATTCAGAGATAAAGTGGTAGTTTAACCGTACCTGAGCTGATCTGGCTCTGATGATACAGGTGTTCTAGTTCAACCACATTCAAGAGTTTGTACTGTATCAATGCATATTGAATGCATAATCTCAGCTTCTGTGTGGTAGAACTTCAGAACATAGAGATCGTTGTAAAGGTAACTTTAAAAACAAAGCCCTGGAGGGGTAATGGTCTTTATCTGTATCTGCGTCTAAGTGGTTTTTGCCCATGAAAGCTTATGCCCAAATAATTTGTGCTTAAGATGTCTTAAGACTCTTCATTTTTTGTTTTTTGGTTTTTTGTTTTAAAGAGTTTTCTTTACATCTTAGTACAGCTGATACGGGTTGTCTTAAGGCTTGTCTTCCTGGAGAGCTTTCCTGTTGACCTATTGCTGTCTGGGCAGGGAGCAGAAGGTTAAGTCACAATAACTGTGTCACTGAAGGGTGTAGATTTTTCACACATTTGAGCCATGTAGTTAAGCTGATACAGGACTGTAATGTTGACCTGACCATAAAGTGAATGTGTGTGAGGGGGGAGGGAGGAGGAAAGGAAAGCAAGCCGAAACCAATGTTGATGCCTAAACATCTAATTTTTGAGTTTTCAAAAGCACATGTTTCATGAGCATCTTTCAAGAATGTAACACTGAAAGACAAAGGCAATTGGAGGGGAGCATAGCACAGCATGGGAGATTGTCCATTTAAAAAAATGGAGTACCATCCTCACTAATATTGCTAATTAACCAAAAGTTAATATGCAAACATCTGGCTTATTCATAACACTTCAGCCGTCCAATTCTGTTTCTGTTTTATGTTTTTGTTTTAGACATATTTTTTTCTTTCTTATCCATCTTCATTTCTAGAACAACCAGAGACTGGTAATGATTCTCCTGAAATGGGAAACTTTGTCATACCTGAGATTAGTGTCACAAATGTGGCTGGAGAGAGAACCGGGAATGGGGAAAAATGCAGAGCACTAACAGAAAATGATTCTCAGCATGTACAGGGTGTGCAGGAAACAGCTACAGATACTAGAACTGACAGCAAAGTCATGCCAGAAATCAGGAGGCAAAAATCTGTAAGAAAAATGATGGAAGATGGAATAAACTCATCTGGCAGAGTGCAGTTTTAGCAGAGCACTTTGTAGCTGCACTCTAAGGTATCATTGATTGAAAAGGTCACTGCTGCATGTTCGAAGAGTTGCAGTATGCAGTTACTATATTTGCATGTTGTCATTTAATAAAAACACAAATGCATGCACTGCACACACAATTTCTTGAGTCTGTGCTACATCAGATCATTAAATAACTTGGGGAAACCACACTGTGAGACTCAACACTGACCGAAGATGCGTTCCTATTCTTCATTTTGAACTTGTTTTGCATATTTGACAAATTAAGTTGTCAAGGAAACAAAGTTGACTATTTCAAACTTATGCAAAAAGTTTTTCAGTACGCTATACAGTTTTTTCCTCATTATACCATTTGAGACACCATCATGATGCTGAGACATTCATACTCCAGTGTTAAGTTTCCAACCTAGTTATAATGGCAAACAGTTAATGCAGAAGGTGACCTTTCAGTCCTAAAATTGAAACACTGTTAGTTTTTCTAAGCTTGCAGGAGCCATAAAGGGTGTTTTTTAGCATTGATAATCTACCTTAATGATTAATTTGCTTTGGAAATTAGTATGTAGAATCACTTGCACATAATAGAATTTATACCTTCTTAGTTTTCTGTATGGTATCTTTCCTGTTCCTAATCTTTTGCATGAATAATAGTGCTTTTTTTCAAAATCGCTATAAAATGAAATTATGCAGGCATGCCTCTTGATTTAGTAAATGCAGCTTTTCTTGATGCATTTTAATTCATAATTATATGTTTTCTACAATATAATGTAATAGTTCTATAAGGTAAGTGTTCTACATTTTTTTCTATTTTAATCCATACTCTGTTGCTTTGTTGCTTTTGTTTGAAAATGCAGTCTGTCTATGTACATTTGAGGTAATTACAATATGAACAACACCTAATTAACTCTTTTCTTGTTCCTTTGCATAGATAATGATCTAGCAATTCCAGAAGAACTGATAGAAGTATCTGAGGTTGATGAAGGGTTTTACTCTAGAGCTACTTCTAGCACAAGCCAATCTGCCTTATCAAACAGCAACAACACCAGCAACAAGATCCTTTTAGGGAAGAGCCAACGAAGGTCTGGAGGAGGCAAACCTGGGGGGAAAGAAAAAGAAACTTTTGGGGAATCCTGCAAAGAAGATTTTTCTCGAAAACAAACTCAGAGAGCCATGAGTGAGAATTTAGATCTTTTGTCTTTAAAGAGACTAACATTAACTACGAGCCAGTCGCTGCCTAAGCCTGGCAGTCATAGTTTAGCTAGAACTACCACTACTGTTTTTAGTAAATCCTTTGAGCAGGTCAGCGGTATCACGGTTTCAAATAACCGTAATGGTGGAAATGGTACTGAAGTAAATAGGTTTTCAGCATGTAGTCTTCAGGAAGAAAAATTGATATATGGAGTAGAAAGAATAGATCTTCCCATTTCAAACAAACAGTCAAATCAGCAGCGACCTCCTAGCATCAGCATAACACTGTCAACAGATTGATATCTGGCAAATTGCTAGTATGAAAAAGGAATCTGACGATTCTGTTGATAGCGTTATACATTGTGCTATCCATATTCCCTTTTTAAAATCTAACCCCACAAAATTTTGATATTGTTAGTTTGACTTGTATTTGACAGTGTGTCTAGATTATAATTTTTAATTATTTTGCATTAAGTTTTAACTGTTATTAATAGCCTACAGGGTTTTTTCCCCCTTAGGTCATTTGACTTTACACTTCAACTTCTTATTGTTTACATGCCCCTATGAAAACAATTAACAACTATCATTGGCAGGCTGTGTTTGGCCATGCTGTGCGTGTGTGCGTGTGTTCTAAAATATAGACTCCAGAGCAAAGGGATCCTCTTTCTCAGGATGTGTCTGTTCAGTAACTACTTTGCAGCAGTGACTGAAGTTTTCTATTAGCAGAGGTTTGTGACTCAGGAATGAAATTTTGGATGATATTGCAATAGGTCCATACAATAAAATCACAACATCAGACCATGCCAGAGAAGATGTGTTAATGTGAGAGGTGTACTTTGTTATAGGTCTACAGTGTTTTATATTAAATGGAAACTTTCATAGCAGTAGGCCAGGTCTGTGTGTGCTTTACGTAGCTCATGATCGCCAATGTGTTTGTGTATCACTTGAGTTGCGTATTTATGTAAGTATATGAAAACTGATTTTTTGTATGATGTATTTCTGTAAACACTTGGTTGAAAACTTGGCTCCAAAAGTTATACAATAGCAGAGCAAACTTCTGTTAGAACTGGAGTTTTCTGTGATGAAAATACCATAATAGTCAGAAAAGTGATTCCTAAAAATGGCACATGTTGGGTTTCATGTTTGATTCTGTGAGTTACCAAATATGCTCAGTTCAGAAGGTGTGTGTGTGTGGGGGGGGGGGGGATTTCTCATCAGTCCTGTTAACTAAAGTGAAGGCGGGAAGGTAAGATTTTATTATTATTATTCATGGCTCACACTTCTACTGGTAGTAAATATTTTTCAGTTGGAATTCTATGATCCGTTCTGATGAGTGAGCTAGAAGAGCTTCCAGCAAGTTCCCCTACCTACATTGATTGCAATACCTGTTTACTCACACTTTTTGCCCATAACCACACTTGAAGAGCCAGGATAGTCAGGCTGTTGAGGAAAGAGACTGTAAATATTTTTTTCTTTCCATTTCCTCTGTGGTGTGGTGGGATTCAGAATTACAAACTGCCCTCCTGCTCACTCCAAGCTACTGTGTTCTGTCAGAACATGTAGTGACACTAGTTTTTTATCAAGTTATCAGGAGTAAGTGCAAAGCTCCTAATTAGAAAGTCATTCTCAGCATTTTTCATCGCTGTATGGAAAATGTGCTCATAATTACAATATCAGTATGATTATGCTGGTCTTGACACCTGTTGCATTGAATCAAGCACATCATTTTAATGGAATAATGTGTTTAAAGATAAAGCTTGCTCTCAAATGAGGTTAGGAGACTATTACAAAGGGACCTGTAAAAATTAATCTTGGAAGCACAAAGGGAAATTATTCTGTGATTAATGACTAATTTCATTTATGTTGTAACTTAATTTTGTAATTTTTGTTTGTTGTAACATGTAACTAAGTTACCATTATTTTGCTAGCTTGAAACTACAAAATATCAAATACTTTGAGGTTACTATGGTAATGCAGTGGTTCTCAAACTTTAACAACCTGAGAACCCCCATTTTGATTTACAGTTTTTCGGGAACTCTTTGCCCCAACCCTTCACTGATGCTGCACATCTGTTCTGAGGCCCCACCCTCACTCAGGCCATCCTCCCTCCTTCTGTTGCTCTCTCTCCCACACTTTAACTCACTTTCACCCAGCTGGGGTGTTATGGTGTGGGAGGGGAGGTGAGAGCTCCATCTGGAGATGCAGGCTCTGGGTGGGACCAGGGATGAGGGTTTGGGGTTAAGAGGGGGCTGTGGGCTATGAGAGGGTGAGTGGAGTTCTGGCGGCACTTACCACACACAGCTCCCAGCTGGTGACCATCAAGTCCCTGCAGCCCCTAGGTGCCTGGGCAGCCAAGGAAGCTATGCAGGCTGACCTCATGGCTGCAGTCACTACCCTTGCAGCTTCCATTGATTGCAGTTCCTGGTCAGTGGGAGCTGTGGAACTGGCACTTAGATGGGGACAATATGTGGAACCTCCCTAGCTGCCCATGCATCTAGCAGCCACAGGAACCTGGTGTCCACTTTCAGGAGCCATGTGAAACCTGGATAGGTAGGGAGCCTGCCTTAGTCCAAAGAGGAGAAGGAAGGATGGAGAGGAGTTGATCAGCAGGGCCCATGGATCCCCTGGAGTTTCACAAACCTCAGTTTGAGAAGCGTGCTGTGGTAATTTTAAAAGAGTTTTATGAGCTGAGATTATAGCTTTTAACAATACATATTGATTGTAAGCTGAACGCAGAGTTGGAGAAGAAAAGCTGTCAATAACCTCTCCTCACAAAGCAAGGGAGCATTTTATATAGTGCAACTCTGATCTTTTCTCAGGGGAAGTAGAGAAAGCAAAATGGAGGGCTAATGCATATCCACTCATGAGTATTCAAATCTTTGTGGAGGGGTTGCTTTATAAGCCAAAAATGTCAAAGGGCCAGAACTAAAGCTTTTTTAGATTCTTGTCGTTGAGTTTTGCCCTGCAATCCATTCTAGATTTGATTGAAAACTAAAACACAAATTTTAAACAAGCTCTCATTGTACACTGTGTATAGCCTCTACAGCAGGGATGGGAAGCCTGTGGGCTGAATCTTGCCATGGCTTGCCTTGATCCTGTCCATGAGACTCAGGGCTTGCCTCCTTCTTTCCTCCTCCTCTTCCCCTCAGCAGCAGAAGCCAGTGCTGGTTCTCCACATAGCTGGAGCTGGGGGAAAGCACTGAGCCTTGGGGGCTCGATGAAGGCAGGCTGTGGATTGGATTAAGCCCGCAGGCCCTGTGTGGGAGGGAGGAAGAAGTGATCCCTCATGCTGCATGGACATGGTCCCTGCAGACACTGCCCCCACCCCATTGCTCCTGGGAATCGCAGCCAATGGGAGCAGGAAAGGGCAGTGTCTGCAGGGAGCACTTCCCTGTAGAACAGAGAGCCACACAGAAACAACTGTGTCCCTGTCCCCCAGGAGCTGTGCCAGGTAGATGTCCCTAACCCCTCCTGCCCAGACCCTGCACCCTCAGCCCACTCCTGTGCCCCCTCTCCCATCCAGCCCCTGTGCCGTTGCCCCCAGCCCACTACCCAGCAGCTTCCTCCTGCTCACTGAACCCCTCCTTTCCCCCCCCCAACAGGGCCCCAAAAAAATCCATTATTAGGTAATGTCTACATAATAGACATTCTGCATTAACATAACTTGAAATTCCTCCTGAGAGGTCAAGAAGGGATGTCCACTAGTATTGCACAAGATACTTTCCTAGCTCTCACTAAGCAGAACACACAGCCTTCCTCTCATCTCCTAGGCTGTAGGATAATACAATTTTAAAATTTTTTACTTGAACTATACCTTTTAAGTTGAGTTATAGGTTATTTAAGTAATTAAGATATATAATTTCAGTAAACTTTTTATCACAACAGTATTAAGCATGTATTAGCTGTAAGAACAAACTAGTATTTTAAGTAGTTTCTTTTTTAGGGAAATTTATTTTTAAAAGAAAATTGTTTGATTCAATATTGATAGAAAAAGTTTTACTGTACTGGAAGATCTGGACATTTAACTTTGAAACAGTAACAGAATTAACTTTTTTTTAAAAGTGTATTTAAACGTATTAAATTTACTTAATGTTTACAGAGCTATCACTTGACAGTTCTCAGAATTACAGTTCAGATAAAACCATTTTACCCTTTTAAAAATACTATCTTACACATTTAATCAATCTAACTTTGGCTGTTTGTTTTTCTTCCTGGGCTTAAATAAATGTTAATACAAAAATGATAAAATCATATTATACAATAGAATTTGTGAAGTTTCCAATTTATTCCAATATTTGACCACCCTGACAGTTAGGAATTTTTTCCTAATGTCCAATCTAAACCTCCCCTGCTGCACTTTAAGCCCATTACTCCTTGTCCTGTCCTCAGAAACCAAGAGGAACAAATTTTCTCCTTCCTCCTTGTGACACCCTTTTAGATATTTGAAAACCGCTATCATGTCCCCCCTTAATCTTCTTTTTTCCAAACTAAACAAGCCCAGTTCATGAAGCCTGGCTTCATAGGTCATGTTCTCTAAACCTTTAATCATTCTTGTTGCTCTTCTCTGTACCCTTTCCAATTTCTCCACATCTTTCTTGAAATGTGGCGCCCAGAACTGGACACAGTACTCCAGCTGAGGCCTAACTAGTGCAGAGTAGAGCGGCAGAATGACTTCACGAGTTTTGCTTACAACACACCTGTTGATACAACCTAGAATCATATTTGCTTTTTTTGCAACAGCATCACACTGTTGACTCATATTCAACTTGTGGTCCACTATGACCCCTAGATCCCTTTCTGCCATGCTCCTTCCTAGACAGTCGCTTCCCATCTTGTATGTATGGAACTGATTGTTCCTTCCTAAGTGGAGCACTTTGCATTTCTCTTTATTAAACCTCATCCTGTTTACCTCTGACCATTTCTCTAACTTGCTAAGGTCATTTTGAATTATGTCCCTATCCTCCAAAGAAGTTGCAACCCCACCCAGTTTGGTATCATCTGCAAACTTAATAAGCGTACTCTCTATCCCAATATCTACATCATTGATGAAGATATTGAATAGTACGGGTCCCAAAACAGACCCTTGAGGAACTCCACTTGTTATCCCTTTCCAGCAGGATTTAGAACCGTTAACAACAACTCTCTGACTACGGTTATCCAGCCAATTATGCACCCACCTTATCGTGGCCCTATCTAAGTTATATTTGCCTAGTTTATCAATAAGAATATCATGCGAGACCGTATCAAATGCCTTACTAAAGTCTAGGTATATGACATCCACCGCTTCTCCCTTATCCACAAGGCTCGTTATCTTATCAAAGAAAGCTATCAGATTAGTTTGGCATGACTTGTTCTTCACAAACCCATGCTGGCTATTCCCTATCACTTTATTACCTTCCAAGTGTTTGCATATGATTTCCTTAATTACCTGCTCCATTATCTTCCCTGGGACAGACGTTAAACTGACCGGTCTATAATTTCCTGGGTTGTTCTTATTCCCCTTTTTATAGATGGGCACAATATTTGCCCTTTTCCAGTCTTCTGGAATCTCCCCTGTCTTCCATGATTTTTCAAAGATCATAGCTAAAGGCTCAGATACCTCCTCTATCAGCTCCTTGAGTATCCTGGGATGCATTTCATCAGGACCTGGTGACTTGCTGACATCTAACTTTCCTACGTGATTTTTAACTTGTTCTTTGTGTATCCTATCTTCTAAACTTACCCTCTCTCTGCTTGTATTCACTACGTTAGGCACACCTCCAGACTTCTCGGTGAAGACCGAAACAAAGAAGTCATTGAGCATCTCCGCCATTTCCAAGTTCCCTGTTACTGCTTCTCCCTCCTCGCTAAGCAGTGGGCCTACCCTGTCCTTGGTCTTCCTCTTGCTTTTAATGTATTTATAAAAGGTCGTCTTGTTTCCCTTTATGCCTGTAGCTAGTTTGATCTCATTTTGTGCCTTTGCCTTTCTAATCTTGCCCCTGCATTCCCGTGTTGCTTGCCTTTATTAATCCTTTGTTATTTGTCCTAGTTTCCATTTTTATGATTCCCTTTTCAAGTAAATGTGATTTAAAGGAAAGATTTCTTAATACTAAAGGGCTACTGCTTCTACTTACACATTCAGCTTTATGTACATAAGTCTTTATAAGCCTACCTATACGGTTTATTCATTGAGTACATTTTATGTAACTGCCACAACGTAGGTCCTGGCAATACTGAAATTTTACTTTAACAACTGTTTTATAACCACAAGTATTTAAACATTTGCAGAAAAGTTTAAGATTTAAGTATGTTTAGCTTCGTGTATGAGACTGTCCAAATACCCTCCAAGACTTTTACTGTAATTAGACAGTGTTAATTAGTGAACTTTGAGAGTTTTTAAATTTTTAAATTTTATACTAATCAAGTTTGCATTGAGAATATTAAAGGTTTTTTAAGTAAATGTTACTGTAGTTGTAAAATTGCATTTTGTATTGTACAATGGTAGTTAATTTTGAATGAATAATAGATTGTTACTGCCATTTAATATAACTTTGCACAGAAGGGAAAAAAGATCTTATTTAAAAACAACAAACTCAAACAAGTTGTACTAAAGAAAAAAGTAGCTAATGCTTACTTAGGTTGGAATTTCATTTCATTATATCAAAGGGAAATGTTTCTAGTGCTGCAGTAACAGCAAAATCTAACATCAAAGTATTTGATTATCTAGAGTTAACAGTGAACTATTATTTTCTGTTGTCTAGAACTAGGGCACTTTTTTGTGCAAACATTCTAATCACTTTGTATAGATAGGATCTGTAGTGATTTCTTGAGAAATTATTGGCATTAATGAAAGGTTATTGGATTTCATACCACTAGAAAATGTAACTTAAAAAAAGCCTTTCTAGAGGTAACCAGGCTTCGACTAACATAAATTTACAAGTTTATAGTTTAGTAATTATGTATTTAGTCAAAGTTTAATTTTTGAAGTTTAAAATGCTGTATATAGATGTGTAACATACTGGATTTTGTATCTGTAACTCCATTTCTAAAAAATTGCAACAATGGACTAGATGTATATTTTTAGTAACACAAATCTATGGAATGGCTGCATCACTTCACAGGTGTTCTCTGTCTTAACTTGAAAGCTGCAGTCTAAATGAGGGTGCCACACTTTCTCATATTTTTCATGTTTTGCATAGTTTGTGATTATTTTTCTTTCATGTATTTTGGTAATGCATAAAAGCAGTGTTTTACTTTTTATGTAGTAAAATGTTTTAATTGTTCTCTAGAGTTAATATTCCTTAAGTATAAACCATGAATTTGCATTCTGTGTTTAATATTTTTGGCCATTGGAATAAACGCACTGGAGTTTTTTTGTTTTTCAAGTTGTATACATTTTATAAACAAGTTGCATTTTTCATAGCATAGTTTTACCTCATTGATGCATTTTGTTGAAATAAATCTTGAGTAGTGAAAATATACTTCTCAAAACACTTGTTCATGTTTATATGTCAATAAAGACTCCTAAAATTGGAATAGGACTGACTATGCTACTATGATGAGAGCATGGGGCATACATGCAATACCCTAGGGTCTGCAT